CAATTTTCTCAAATTTGTTTCTTCCCTGTAGCTTGGTTTGTCCATATCTACTCAGCCCAAAAGTTGATTGAAGCTGTTAAGCTCCTATTGGAGCAAATTGCGGCTTCTACAACCTTTGGCCAGCTTCCAACTGAAGGTACCCCCCCTTTTTTTTTTCAATTCGGCCCAATAGCTTTATTCTTGTTCACTTAACCCCCCTCTGATTTGAATTAACCCCCGAAACATTTAATTGTGGCAAAATAACCCACAATCAAAATTGGGTTATTACAGTTGTGAAGCTGAGGTTGGTCTGCTCCAAGTGATATGTGACGATCCAAGGACATCACTGTTCCTTCACGGAAGCGAAGGATGGTCTGAAGTAAGTCAGTTATACTGAACAAGTGATTGAAAAAATGAATTCAACCTGTTTCCGGTCAGGCCTGAGTATTCTGTTGTCGTAGATCAGTATTCAGACGTTATCGGTGGAGTTTATCAGACATTGGGGTTTGTAGATGATAATGTATCGGTCGATTATTATGGATCGGCTAATGAATTTCCTAACTGTTCCGGTGAAAGGAATAGTGAGATTGAGTTTCTGGGGTTCTGATTGTGCTCGTCCCTGTATGGTTCTGGTCTTGAAGTCGTTGGTGTCGAATTCCTAGTCGCCGTCCATTTGTCGGACGGCTTCTGTATGAATGAGGGGTTCATTATTTAACACTAGAGAACTAGTGGCATTCTTGTAAATATGAGGTCCCTTCGCGGAGGGAGCTCTCTCACAAAATCTCAAATATCTAGAGGGACTGGAGGGACCTTTATAGTGGGAGGGAGCGTATATAATAATATTATTAGGCCCCCTCCCCCCATGTGTACAGTAGAGATGTTGCCGCAAGGACGAATCAGGCGGCTGGGATATTTTGAAGGTGAAAAAAAATGGAAATGAAAAGAAAGTCCCTCCAAGGACCTCTGGGCCTATTATTTGGGCCGCGCTTTTGGGCCATTCTTTGGCCCGCGTAAGGAGGTTTGTGTGTTGCCCACGCGTCTATTGTGTATCGGACTATGTGTTAGGCTATTGTCAGGGGTGTGTCAGTGATACTTGGTGGCGAAGCATTCGGGGGTTTTCCTGCCCAAATTTCAGTGGGCCCCACCAAAATTTAAATTTCAAATTTAAATTTTGTATCCAACAGTCATTGAACTACTGGGGTAAAGTTTGATGGCATCTCTCTCGTAAAAATAAAAATTTATTTTTATTTTTTAACTACTTGTATAAATAGTTATTGTCGGGTGACGTGTTTGGTTTGTCTGTTTTTGTGGGACTGAACATGAGGCCTCCGCCGTCCGGGAGGAAGAAGTGGGGGGAGAGATACCCTGGTCTCCGTATACTCCCTCCCGTTCATCGATGGCTGTCACTCAGCGTGTCGACCCCTCACGCTCTGGTGAAGAGATTTAACAAGGTACAATACCCTAGAGCATACGATGGCATATTTAGGAACTTTAGGACGTTTGACGATTATATTGGCAGCCCTGAGGAAAGGGTGGTTCCAGCTGACGATGTTTGGTCCGAGTACATGAACTTGCTAGCGTTGGGTAATGCAGCATACGAGCATCATGGTCATTCGATAATCAGCTCATAAACCAAATTAGTTGAACATTTTTTAACTTAAACTCGACTCATATTTTATATGACTCAAAAAGTTTAGCTCATGTATTGCGTATTTGATTCATGAGCTTAACTGATTGAATTAATTGTTTAAACTGAATTATTTGTTACTTGTGATTATCTCAACTCATTTCCAACCCCTACTTTTAACATTCCTTCCAAAGAGTTATGAATACATCAACTAAAACAAAACAAAATATCATGAATCTAATTATTCAAATGTAAAGCATCTTCAAATAATATGCATATTATTTCGTTTACAATGCTTAGAAGTAAGACTAGCAATGGATTGGATCTAACTTAGCTTCGTTATATCTAATCCACTATTTGACAATGCAGAATTTGATGGATTTTCTTCAATTTGGTTATGAGAATTTCATTTTGATTGTTTACATAAGGAAATTAAAAAATTAGATTTGGATTCGATAGAATTTGATAGAATTTTACTTAATGTGTTGAATCTTGTATTTGTTAACACATGATTTGACGAGATTTGGTGAAATCTATATTTGTAAATATCATTTTGACGGATGGATAGAAAGTTAAAAAATGAGATTTGAATTTTATGAAATTTGAAGGAATTTCACTTAATATGTTGAAATCTCTTTAAAATTAGTAGGACTTTATGAGATTTGGATTTGTAAAATTTATTTTAAAAATTTTAAATTATTTACTCAACTCTTCCCCCTCTCAATAGGATTCTTCCTTATCTCACTTTAAAAATAAATTAAATATTTAAGAATGTGTAATCTATTTTACAATCCTATATAATTAAATAATAAATTTATTCACTTCTTTTAGCTCACTTTTTTTTTTTTAACGTTTTCTTTAAATTTAATTTATATTAAACAAATCATTTATCCTAAATTCAACAAACTATGTTAGGATGAATGAATGTACAAATTAGGCCAACGCATGGACAGGTCAAGGGAAATAGAGACGTATTTTTATATAGAACATTTAGTGTAATGAAAAAAATCAATTTTATATCAAGAGACTTGAAATTTTTTGGAAGTATAATTCTCATTTTGAGAACTTTTTAATAATAAATTTGATTTTAATTATTTTAAAAAAATAATATTTTTATTGAAACTAATTTTATAAAAAGTCAGCCTGTTCATACCAACACACAAAAATTTTAAATTAAGTAATTCCAATACCAAACATCTCATAATAAGTCTGTCCCAATAATTATTTTTCTCCATTTGATCGTACTTGTTATCGTATGATAGTAGAATCCTTGTGAAGCAATTTCAAATTCTATAATTTTGTGATTAATGTAGATTTTATTATTTTATTTCTAAACGGAAGAAATTTTTTTTGGTTAGAAAATAGTAAGGTTAATTTGTTTGTTATAAAATAATAGGACCAATTCTTTTTTATAATTTATTAAGAAGGAAAGGTACAGTAGTTAAAAATCTTATTTTTCATTCCAAATCTCATTTCTTTCCATATATGAAATGGAACTTATAAATATCAAATTTTACTTTTTGAATTTGAAATCCAATTCCAATTCTAAATCCCATTTTTTGCCTACCACATAGAGGGGAAATCACTTCAAAATTAATGGGATTTTATAACTTTTGAACTTGAGAAAATTTATTTAAAAATTTTAAATTATTTTTCCAAATATGTCCCCTCTCATTAGGATTCATTTAAAAACTAAATTAGCTATATAAAAATATATAATCTATTTATACTATCCCATATATTAAATAATTAAATAATAAAATTTCTTAACTTCTTTTTACTTTTTCTTGAACCTAATTTTTTAACTTTATGTTTTATTAAACGAGTTACTTATAATAAATTTAAGACCTCGTGTTAGGAAGTATGTATGTATAATTAGGCGAGTGCATGAACCGCTCCTGGAAAACAATTGACTCCAATAAAAATTTTCAAATAGAGGTGTATTTGTATATAAAATAGTTTAGTTTGATGAAAAAGCTCAATCAATTTTTTATTACAAAATAATAATTTTTTTGGAATATTAGTTTTTATTTTTAAGTTTTTTCATAACAAATTTGATTTTAATTTTTTAAAAAAATTAAATTTTTTAATAGAAATTTAATTTTATAAAAAGTCAGCTTTTTAATACCAACAAAAAATTTAAATAAATAAATTCTAATAATAAATAAATCATAATAAGCCTCCATTTATTCATATTTGTTATAAAATGATAGCTAAATCTTTGTGAAATCAATTTGTTTATTATAAAATCATAGGAATAATTTTTTCATAATTTTATTAAGAAAGAAAGTTATAGCAGAAAAAACTTGTTTCTAATTCTAAATCTCATTTATTTTCAAACACCAAATGTAAATACAAAATTTTCTTTTTTTTTTTTTGGCAACTACTAAAATGAGATTTGGATTTGAAATTTATGGAATTCCAAATCCCGTTCTTTTTTTGATTAATTTTTTTCCTAATTTGTTTTTCAACTTCATCTATTTTGAATTTACTTTCTCTCTCTCTCTCTCTCTCTCTATTTTTCTCTTTTCTACTTATTTTAATTTTGTTCCATTAATTTTGCGCCCAGATATTTGAGAATTCTCAATTTCATCCACAAATGATAATCAATTCTTTGTGCTTAACTTTTTACTCTGATAAATTGTTATTTCATACCCTTAGTGGCCTCTCATAGATCATGTGACTTTTTTCCAATCGCCCCTACATATTTATATGGATTTTGGCAAGGGTGAGATTGGTTCAACCGTTCAAGCATAGGACTTGATTGCGAAAATTAGAAGTCGGGAGACCAAATTAAGAATCATCTAACAATTGGTGAGAGTCAAAGCAATTTATTTAGTTAGTCGGTGACGAGGTGGATTTGTACCCTCCACATATTGATTCCACCAATCATACCCACAAAGCCTTAAGATGATCTAGATATTAATATTTTCTTCCCCAGAATTTGGGGCAAGCTGACTTAACGGTAACATCATGAGCCCCACAAATTCAAAACAAACGAAGCAGATATCCAAAGCCGCTTTTTCATAATCAGGAAAAGTAATTTTTTGCCAACTTTTGTGTTGGCCTTTTTCAAAGAGAGGAGATATCTTAATCCACTTAAGATTTTGGAAATTATAATAAAGAACATTAATATCTGAAATTAAGAATAAATTGACTTTTACACTAGATTAGCACCATTTTGTCCTTTTGGCGGGAGAGTATATGCCTCATGTTAAAGATATTTGACACTAACACAAATCCTTAAATGACAAAAGAAATAAAAATAAAATAGAATAAAGAAGGCTTCTCACTTCAAATATAAAGCAAACGTAAATTTACATAGCTTATTCAAGACACGTGCTCGTAGTTTCTAATAATATCTGAAGGTGTAACTGTGCTGTGCCAATAAGCGTATATATCTCGAGGTCTATATAAACGGAGAGAGATAAGTGGCATTGAAGAGGAGCATGGATGGCTTAACAGCGCTGCCGGACAACTGTATACACACCATTTTGTCGAAGACATCGCCCCGGATGCGTGTAAATGTTCGGCGATCTCAAAGCCGATGAAGCAGGCGGCGGACTCCGATGACCCCTGGAGCGTATTCTTGCCGCCTGATTACCGGCAGATTATTTGGGGATTTGCAACGCCGATTGTTTACTCAAGCTTGAAGCAACTTTACCTTCGCCTATCGGACTCCCCTGTACTCCTTGATGGGGAAAATATGGTAATCCGTTCGCAAACATATCACGTAAAATTTGTCCTGTTTGACTATCTGCGCACTGATTAAGCACTTTTCCCTGTCTTATATATTCAGATTTTCTGTTAATTGGAATGCATCTTCTTAAATGACCTATCAGGTTTCATTTGTCTCTTCTACTTGATCACTTGCTTAATTTGTTAAGTGTCTGGTCTTTGCTTCCTTTGAGATGGCTGAAAGCGACTCATTTACGGAGCTATTTCATAACTGTTATATTGTGTCTCTGGCAACATATTTATTTAGTTGCTTATTTAATACAAGAGCTTTGTTCTGGAGAAAGAGAGTGGGAAGAAATGCTACATGCTTGGAGCACGGAGTCTCAGAATTGTATGGGGAGATCATCCTGAATACTGGGAATGGATGTCCTTACCTCGTTCAAGGTAGGTTCCATAATTGCCTCCTTGATTCTTGTGGACATATCTATTATCATTCTTAGCCACTTACGTAGAGACAGGAGTACGTATATTCTAAAACAACATATTTAGTTGTCCAAATGATTCCAAAATACATTTTTCATCCTTTTTTTTATTTTTTATTTTTACATTTTTCTTCCCGGCGGCGACCCAAATTATGGAGCCATTGAAGCTTTTGGGCACAAATGGACATGGTTTTGAAATGTTTTATTTTAATATTACATTCTACTACAAAAATAATATTGCTTTGTAAATATGTATTAATACTAATTTTGTATTTTATAGAAGTCTATGGTATTCTACCACATTTTTAAGTATGTAGTAAACAATCCCATTCATGTTCTACATATGGGAATGTTCTGTGTTCCTTCATGATGGTTGTCCCCTTCCCTAGCTCTTGTATTTTGAGTACCATTTTTATGTGCCTTGTGAATCAAAAGCTAAAAGGTCGATTTTATGCAGATTCCCAGAGGTGGCAAGGCTTCGGAGAGTTTGTTGGCTTGAAATCACAGGCAGAGTGAAGACTCAGTTACTGTCACCCAAGACTACTTATGCAGCATACCTAGTATACGACCTTGGAAGAAGGAACTATGGGCTCGAATCCTTGCCAATTAAGGGATTGGTTAGATTTGTTGGGGTAAGTGGGAATGATGGGGCTGAAACTGAGCCCAACACAGTCTATTTGAAGATCAGTTCGGCCAAACCGGCACAAATGCCAGAGAATGGATTTTTGCCTCAGAAGAGAAAAGATGGATGGTTAGAGATCGAAATGGGGGAAATTTTCAATGACCAAGATAATGAGCGTGAGGTTGAGATAAAATTTTGGAGGTGGGACGATCCACACTGCAAATCTGGACTCATCGTGGAGGGGTTTGAGCTGCGACCCAAAGTGGATCCACAAATAAATTAGATCTTACGCAGCATTATTTTGATGGAGAGCTGTTCTGGGCTTGTTCTTATTCTATGAAGGACATCTTAATCTCCTGCCATTAAACAATACACAGCTGTTTCGAGTTGTCTGCTCCTCCTTTAAGCTATGCCGTTACCTCTTCCCTGTTGCTCCTCCCTTGACGGCAAAGGTGAAGTACTGTCCTACAGAGCAATTAGTCCTTGTAAAGGCACCCTCCCCTCCTGACTTGCTATCAGATGTTCAAATACGTTCAGTTTCATAGTATACACTTCAAGATACAGTGTTTTGGAAAGAGTCATTGGGTGACACAAATGATTAAAGAAATTGTCTTGTTTGTTAGTGTTGATGAGTGGACTGCAAAACCCTGCCTCTCTGTGCCCAATATGTGAGGAGTGTGAGTTGTTAAAGGCCATCGAAATGGCCACCGATATGGCCAAAGGACCCCAAAATATGTCCTTATTACTAATGTAAAAACTAGTGATTGAAGATGATCTGTTGTGAGTTAGTCCTCTTATATGGAAAATCAACTTTAAAATTCAAATTCTCTCAATCTATAAATTCAAAGAATGTCAAAGCACTGGTACTGCATAGCGTTTCCATTGGATTTGAAAGCTATCATGGGTAAAACGTCTGGTATGTATGAGATTGTTTCCTGATTCCTTATATGTTGAATATTTAGTATTCAGACTTTGATGCGTGTTTTAGCAAACAAGTTGCTAAAATGTAATATGTATTTCCATTTTTTTTTTTTAATTTTTGACTTCTTGAGATTGCCGAACAAATACCAACTGATTTTGTCTTCTTACTAGATGGGAGTTAAGAATTTGTCGCATGCTTTGAATATTTGTCTGCAGGATATTTTTTAATGTTATCCACAATGACAGTGCAATCTCACCTTAATGTAAGGCCACGTTTGATGGTTTGGATAACAACAGATAAAAATAATTTTTGTACCTTTGTCCATATTTGATAGGCTAGATAGTAGAAATCAAATAAAATTTGAGTAAGGTAGAGATTATATAATTTATCTAGCTAAATTTGAATAAATTATATTAAACGAGGGATAAGAGAATTTTATCTAATCTTTATTCAACCTTTTTGGACAATATTATTTTTACTAAAACCATCAGCCGACATTGATAACCACCTCTAGCAATCGCCGATTGTTGCCAGCCACCACCTTCAGCAACTGTTGACCTTTGCTAGCCACCACCAATCGTTGCTGTTTGCCACTATTGCCAGTCGCCATCGGCTGCCTCCAGCCCTTGCAAGTCGCTTGTGTTTATCGTCACTGGCTGCTAAGAATGAAATGATTATTTTGTTAGTTTTTATGTTTATTCATTATTTTATCCAAATTTTAATTCAAATATACTGAATGAAATAATAATCCAAAATACTGAGTCGTTAAGATACTTTATTTAAAAGTTGCTTATCTATCACAACCTAAACCCAGGTCCATAACCAACACTAAGGTCCACTGATCCTAGTAAGCCGCAACACAACATACCACAACAAAAGCACTCATTAGTAACAAACATAATTTGTCATACAATATCCAGTACACCACAATCAGGACTTATCTGAGAGTATAAAAAGAGTTATTCTAAAATACAACAAAAGAAATATACAAAAAGGATGCTTGTACATCAACAAGTCCGCAGACACCCGCTTTGACCCCCGCCTGCTACTCGAGATGAGAATAGCAAACCAAATCTGAAAAGATAAGAAAGGTGAGTTGCAAAACTCAATGAGTAGAGATGATATCTAGCATATGCATGTCAGGATATGTATCACATCATAAGTCCAAAACAATACATATACATATACAGTGAACAGTTCTAGTATCAAAACATACATATATGAGAGTACAACAATCACATCATGAGACTCCAGCCTTGTGACTCTCACGATTGGAAGAATCCATTGTCTTGATGATCAAAAGCATCACAGACACAATTACATCAGCTGGTCATCCCTCAATCGGAGGAATCCCCTGTCTCAACAATTGGGTTCACATCGCACCCATTAGGGCAACACGCTCAGTAGAGCAATAAAATCTTAGCACATAGCACAACTCCCCATATACAAGTCAAAAATAGATATATACAGTCCATAACTCAAACCGATATCACATATCAACATATCTCACTAATCATACACCAAACCACGTAACACATATCCCGTATGTAACATATATCAAAATACAGTTTACAAAACATATAATCAATCAAACTAGAAAAATCACAGTAAAAAAATGCATGTATAAGAAGGGTATCATCATTCACAGTATAAAAGCCAAGTCAAGAGAGACGTCTCGATCATCTCACTCTACTCACCGGTCCGGGTGCTCCTCCGCCGGTGTATTTGTAATAAGAAATATACAAAATCATTATCAACACCAAAACTGGCACAAGAAATGGGCACAGCAACCCAAAATCGGGATCAAATCCTATCTTGGTGCCTTGGAATGCATCTTGAGGCACCACTACCTATTACCAAGATTCACACGACTCACAAACATTTGCCAAATTAACTTGAATTCCTTTGAACCATAGTGAACTAGCCTCGAAAACCCTCGAAACCTTAGTGAACCAGTATCCAAAACCCTCGAACCAGCCTAAATCAGCCTAAAACTACCTAAAACTAAATTGAACTGACCATGAAACCCTCAAAATTAGATTGAACCACTTCCAAAACCCTAAGAACTAGACTGAACCGGCCAAAAAACCTTGAACTGGCCCTGAATTGGGCCAAAAACCCTAATTTTATATATTTGTACATTGAACATGCCCAATTTCCCCACTGAATTGACTAGTTTTCTAATGAACCAACTCGCCCAAAGGTGTGAACCTGTCTTACCTACTTAGAGCTAGTCTAACATTCTAGAGAACTAGTCTAAAAACCAGTGAACCAACCTTTGAACTAAAATTGCCCTAAATGGAACCCTAGTTATTATTAAATTATTTAATTATGGATTATTTAATCCACCCTAAACTTGTTCTTATGTTTGATCTGCCCAAGGGATAGCCCATCCCGATTCATAACCTGAGTCCACCCCACTAGCTTGACTTTAAAATTTTCATCACTAGGCTGAGTTGACTCACTGAGTCAACTCAGCCTAGTCACCCTTTCTAGGTCGGCCCATGGCCTGTGAGCTAACTAGGTCGAGTCAGGCCCAACGGCTTGGACTAGCCCAACATGGGACCTAGATCTGTCCAGGTCCCTTCTCCCTCACTTGAAAACCTGGGTCTTCAAACTCGAGTGTAGTATCTGGGTCTGTGTGACCCGAAAAACCCAAAGCCAAAAGAAAAAAAAAAACAATCGAGACTCACCTATCTCAATCGATTAAGAGCACCAATATGAAGATCTAGACTAGGCGACGCAGGCCACACTGTTTAATTAGAAAAATGAGCCGCCGAAAGCCATAAGAACCAGAGAAGTCGTCCAGTGGTTCATGAGTTTCGTTGAACACCCAAGCCTTGTTTTCTCACCAATTTCTTCTTTGATCCAAGCAATTGATCAAGTGCTTTGGTTTAACTTCAAGCCTCGCACACTGTTGCGAAGAGATTGGACTGAAATCATGCAAGATGATGATGGATTTGACAAAAATTGATTAGTGCTCAGTGGATCTTCAAATTTTGTGTCCTATTAAAATCCAGTCCATGAAATCTTCATTTCCATCAATTGAGTCCTTTGAATTTTTAATTAAGTCCCTACATCTTGAAATTCTTTCAATTTGACCCCCATCTAACCTAGTTGAGCCCTGAACTTTCCAAATTTCCTAATTTAGCCCTAGAACTCTTAATTCTTGTAATTAAGCCCTCCCAACTTACAAATTTACCCTTAAAATTGTTAATTTGTGCACTTGGCCCCTGATTTCCCCAAATTAATTAACTAGTACCCTAATATTTCTAATTAGAGTCATCACAATCTCCGTCCTAAAAAAAATTCATTCTCGAATTTTAAAACAAGGAAATGGATTACATACCGAATAGATGAGGGTACCTCCTGTGCATGATCTCCTTAGACTCCCTGGTGGCCTCTTCCGAGATTTGATTCCTTCATAGCACCTTTACCAAGGGCACTTCCTTCAATCAAAGCTGTTTTACCTGTCGATCCAATATAGTCATCGGCTCCTCCTCGTATGATAGATCCTGATACAGCTGAATATCCTGTGATCTAATCATGTGCGACGGGTCGGGCACATACTTCCTCAGCATAGAAACGTGAAACACAGGATGCACCATGACGACTCTGGAATAAGGGCCAAATGATACGCTACAGCTCTAACTTGATCCAAAATCTCATATGGGCCGATTTAGCGGGGACTAAGCTTACCCCTTATGCCAAATATAACCACACCTTTCATCGAGGAAACCCTTAGAAAGACATAATCTCTAACAGCAAACTCCAAAGGTCGGCGTCTATGGTTCATATATGCTTTCTGTCTACTCTGTGCCGTAGACAATCTCTCTTTGATTAACCAAACCCTATTCACCACATCTCGAACCAAGTCTAGTCCCAACAGTCTCGCCTCCCCTGCCTCGAACTAACCAATTGAGGATCTGCATCGCCTACCATACAATGCCTCGAACGGGCCATCTGTATGTTGGACTAGTAGCTATTATTATACGCGAACTCTATCAAGGGAAGGTATTGACTCCAACTGCCTCTAAAATCTAGAACACAAGCTTGCAGCATATCCTCCAACATCTGTATAGTTTGCTTCAATTGTTTATTTGTTTGTGGATGGAAAGCTGTGCTCAAATCCAAACAAGTACCAAGAGCCTTTTAGAATGCTCTCCAAAATCAAGATATGAACTAGGTCCCTTTGTTAGAGATGATGGACAAGGGCACCCTGTGCAGCCTCATGATCTCATCCAAATATAACCAGGCATACTGAGCCACATTGTAACTCATTTGTACTGGGAGAAAATGTATAGTCTTGGTCAGTCAGTCCATTATAACCCATACAGAGTTGTACCTTTTAGTGGTGTGAG